TCATAACTGCATAATTATCATTGTTATTTATATTGTCCATTTCAAAAATATCAAATGGTTCATCCGCAATATCAATACAAATATTATGCAAAATGCAACATGCAAGTATAACTAGTGGTATCATATCTGTATTATACATATATACATATTTCAGTTTTCGGAATCGTCCCTTTAGTATTCCAAATGTTCTTTCAATTATGACACGGGTTCTTGATAATTTTGTATTGTAATTATGTTGGACATGATTCAAGTGACCATTGTCACGATATGGAGTTAGCATACAGGGTGTTCCGGACCGGTGAAAAAGCACAAAAAGATTTTTATATATTTATGTAAAAAATTTTTTGTTTTTTTTTTTAAGCTAATTAATTTGTCTCATTATTCTGCGCAAAAAAAGCATTAAGACAAGATAACCGAAAGATGAATATTTTACGAGATATTTTGTATTCTATGTCAAAGTGCTGGAAATTTCAAGTGTTATTACTCGAAAAGTTCTTAACGAAAAAATATTTTATTATAGCGTTTTGGAAAGCTCTCGAGATGTGCTATAAGAATATGCAATGAAAAATGGGGTGTTCCATTTAAAAAAATTAATGTGACCTTGACCTGACCTTCGCTACGCAACCCAAGGTCAAACTGATGTGATCAGTAAATACATCTTTTTAAACGCCACAACTTTTATCTGAAACATTTTTTTCTAAAATGCTTAGTTTTCGAGATATTTCACCGGTCCGGGACTTTTTGAACACCCTGTATAATGCAATAACGGGTATGCAGAATCAGCCAAGAGATGACCTTGTTGTGGAAAATACCGTCCTACATCATGCTCTATCATATTTCTGATGTCGCTTAATCGCCAAACTCGAGCATCATGTACACTGCCGCAAATTCCCGTAAACACGTCAATAAATTTCATTTAGTGATTACAAATTCCTTGCAATAATATAGAATGGAATCCTTTTCTATTAATGTAATTATTTGGATGTTCAATAGCAGCACTAATAGGAATGTGGCAACCATCAATAACGCCCACCACACCTGGGAAATTACTAATTGCAGTAAACTGTTCTTGTATATTTAATGTCTCCTGAATTTGTGGCATTTAATATAATTTTGAACATGTTGCTCTAGCGTGTAAGCGACATTAAAAACACATCTCCATATAGTGTCTTTAGACGTTCCAAATCGATCTGCAACGGATCTAAAATAAGAAAACATTTTCAATGCAAAAACAAAAACTTAAAAATAAAATTTTAAAATAATATAAATTAAAAATGTATACTACAAAAACATATATAAAAAACGAATACTATTTATAAATTTTGTCTGTATGTATACTGTATCTCTGCAAG